GGGGCTGGCTGGCATGTGGTCCTGGGGGATTGAACCGTGGTCCCTGTGCTTTGCTAAGCTTGTTCTAAGTAGGTGCTTTAGACCACTGAGCCATCTCACCAGCCCACAAATGATACCTTTAACAAAGTGAAAAGACAACCCACAGGATGGGATTGAGTATTTTCAAACCATATTAACAGAAAAGGGATTTGTACCCAAAATATATAAAGAACTCCTACAATTCCCAAAGACAAATAACTCAATGTAAAAATTTAACAGAAAGTCTAAATAGACATTTTTCCAGATGATACAAGAATAACCAATAAACACAAGAACATTATTAGTCACTGAAAAAATACAAATCAGGGAGATAGCTCAGTGGCATAAGCACCTGCCTAGCAAGCACAAAGTCCTGAGTTCGATCCCTGATTCGAAAAAAAAGTGCTAATCAAAATCACAGTGAGATACCACTTTATACTCACTATGATAGAAAAAATAAAGAGACAATAACAAGGGTGGTAAAGGTACAGAAAAATTAGAACTCTTAAGCACTGTTGAGAGCACTGTACAATGATGTAGTCATTTTATTTTATTTTTTAAACAGGAAAAAGTAACAGTAACAAAATAGTTTCAAATCAACTAGTAGGAGAGTAATAATAATTAATACATTGCATATTGTTATATTCATAGTAGTTGTTCAGAGTACAAGATAAAGGCATGAAATACTGCCCAAAAAAGTATTAGCACAAAACTTTTCAATGAATACAAACTAGCTGTATAACTATCTTAGCTATCTTATGTATATATATATATTTCTCTCCTTTCTCTTTTTTCCTTTCACAGTTTTTGTTTATTTTGAACAGTTTCTTTCAATTTCACAGTATCTATTGTACATCTTGGATCTTATTTATTTTTTCAGTTCCTCACACTAATGAGACAATATGATGTTTACACATGTGAGTCTGATTTATTTCACTTATGAGTATTGTCTCTAGTTCCATCTATTTACCTGTAAAAGTCTGAAGTTTATTTTTCTTTTTTTCTCCATAATTTTATTGAGAAA